TATCTTAGTAAACTTAGCATGTGCTGATGAAAGGGAAACTCTTTTCTAGAGGGACCCAAGGACCCTGTTCACTGAACCCCAACACCTGAACCCCATCCATGGGACTGGCGTGCTCTGGGAGGTGGTGAAGGCAACAAGACCCTGCAGGACTGGAAGAAGCTGCTGAGCAGGGAAAGGTTGTATGTGCCACTGAGGGCACCGTGAGATGAAAGGCCGCGGGTTTGGAGGGCACCGACGGGTGCGATTGCGTGGCTTCTCCAGCTGGTCCTGGGGCACTGCAACAGCATACGGAAGAAATCCCCTGGGCCAGGGGTTCGCGGGTCACGAGTGGTGTTGATGACATGGTCAAGAGGGAGGTTTTGGTTAGAGATGAAAGAAAAGGGCCCCTGAGGAGGCCTGAGTATAGAGGATGAGTAAGTGTGAACCGGCCCAAACCCAGAAATAAAGGAATGGCCCAATTGTGTGTGTGGGGGGGGGGGGGAGGAGAGAGGATTTACTTACATAGGAGAGGGAGAGCTGCAAGGGAGAGGACATTTCTAGGCCCCCACTGGAGGCCCTGTCCTGCCCGCAGATAGCAACAGCTGGGCAGAGCTCACCGTGTACTCCAGAGCAACCGAACGGGAGAGAGAACACGTATGTGCTCAGTGTTTCACATCCAACATGGCTGCTCAGCTCCGCCCCTGGTTCCCAGCAGCCTCCCCTGCAGGAAGCCAGGTTCACGACATGTGGGGAGGTGTGACGCTCTGTGCCTGGAATCCTGGAGGCTCAGAGGTGGGAGTGGAGTCTGGAAAACTCCACCTTCACCATGAGCAACACCCACTGCCTCGGAGTTTGCGCCTCGCTGTTCCTCCGGCAAGTCGAGGACAGTGGGGTGGTTCTTGGGATGGGAGGAAGAGTCGGGTGGGGTGAGTTGGGGTTACGGGTGGGTTACTGAATTTCATAGGCAGAGCAGACTGAGGTCAAGGCGAGATCCGGGGGTGTCCCCCCCTCGGTGGGGGGTGGCTGCTGAAGGACGTTGGTGGAGGCTGGGGGCCCAGCAGTCTGCCAGGTCCTATATGAAGAGGCAGAGGGGGGAGGGCTGGTGCCTCGACAGCCCCAGCAAGGACACGCTGAGGGTGGGAGGCCCGGGATTTACATTCGGGAACCTTGTACTCAGCCCAGTGTCTCGGTCAGGCTCTGCTGCTGTCTGTCGAGGGCCGTGAAAGCATGGCCAGGGGGTCATCGTGAAGATGAAAGGCCTTTCAAGCGGAGCGCCCGACTACGGCCAACCAGAATGGCTCACCACGACGAAGGCTGTTACTGAAGCCCTGGCTTCCCTAGAAATTCACAAATGAGGAAAGCCCCCCAGAAATGGACACATGGGGTGACCTTCTTAGTAGGGAAAGCACAGAATTTTGGAATTAAATAAATTTGTGCCTTCGCTCCAACCCTGCTCCTTCCTGGGACGGAGGCAAGTCATTACCTCTGCGCTGGCAACACGGCTGCACTGTTAACGCCTGCTCTTCCCGGGGCACGGGACGCGCTGGCCCACTGAGCACCGGGTGCGGGACCAGGTGCTGCAGAGGAAGAGTCTTCTGCTGGCGGGTCTGCGGGGGAGATAGGAAAAGACGAGTGTCGGGGAGCGCAGGTCTCAAGCAAGCAGGTGAATACAGATGTGGGCTGCAGAGAAGTTGTTAGCCTCGATGGAGCCGCGAGCTCTTTCCTTCCTCTTTAAAGGCAACAAATAGAACTAAGTAGTCAGGTCCCAGGGATTTTCTTTAATGTTTGGTTATTCGAAACTATTTTGGAAAGTGGCATAGTGAAAATGAGATCTTCTCGAATTCTGTGGGCTGAACAACCTGCCGGCAGGTGCCTGCCAGGTGGAAGGCTGTAGAACAGGATGTCACAGCAGAGCAGGAGTACAGGACACCTTGCGTAGTTGGCTGCTCGAGTCCTCAGTTTCCCCACCTGTGCTGGAGGGATCGTGATAACCAGTGTAACTGCTATCAGTGTAGCGTGGGGAGCTGATGTGTGGGAAGTGCTTAGGACACTGAATGTACGTTAGTTCTTCTTCTGCAAGTGATGGTCTCATAAAGATATGGCAGGCTGTCTTAGCCACGTAGGGACCCCAGAAACTGCTGAATGGCTGGATCAAGCTTAAAAAAAAAAAAAGGCAAACTAGAAATCACTTTTGGCATGAAGTGGATCTTCAAAGTGTCAGGGCAAAACAGGAGAAACTTCTTATCAAAGAAGCAAAGAAACAAACATTCAACAAACTTACCCCCTTGGCCTGAAGGTAGGATCTCAAGCACTTGTTTTACAACAGCAAATTCCAAGGAGTGCCCAGTTTACTGGTTCTTTCCTTTCTGCTCTAACAGTTGAGAGCCGCCTGACTTGCCCTCCCTCCTGGTGGTCCTGAGCCGCCACCCTGCAGGCGACTCTCCAGTTTCTCCAGGTGAGAAAGCCCAAGCACCCAGCACCAGGCTGCGGGCTGTTCCGTGCAGCTCAGCGGATTTTCTATGGGGAGATAAAGGCATTTCTGGAAGAATCCTGTCTCTGCCCTTCACTGTACAAGTGAAGAGATTCATTAGTGTGAAGTCAGAGGAGGGGAGAGCAGCAGCACACAGTGGGGGGCCTTGCAGGTCCCTCCTCCCTCATCCCTCCGGAAGCTACTAGCATTTTCTTCAATCAGCAGATGTTTCCAGCACCACTGAGGTGGTCTGGGAACTTTAGAGAAAGTCCTCACCTCGACACCCCCCACACCCCCAAGTCCTTCAATTCCTTAGCGGATTTCTCTTCTCTGATTTGAGCTTCAATTTAAAGACATAGAGACTTGTCTTTATCCTCCTGCTTTGCCCCTGCTTAAAAGCTGGATTTAAACCATCATCAGAATGAAAGTTATTAGCAAATTATGCAAAAGATAAAAAGTGAATGGAAGCCCAGCAGGCTGGGCCCTTTGCAAGCACTTACTTGTTAGAACTAGAACCAGGCACGGTGGTCACTAGGAAAGAGCACCCAGCTCTGGCCTCCCGTCCAGGGCCCATGGCAAGGTTTTTCAACGGTCAATAAGAGCAAAAGGACAGTGGTGAGGTTTCTGGGCAAGTAAACATTTTCAGTATAGAAACATCCCTTTCACCTTTTATTTTTTCCCCCAAGAAAGACAGTGACAGTAGATAATAGTTGTCTGCACTGGCTTTTAAAGGCTTGACTTGGTAAAATTAGAAGGCTGGCATTCTAGGTTATTGTCTTCATTTTGCTTACTTTATTAGGCTCTGAAAACAAGACTTACTGTACTGAAAGGGCCTGTTCTCAGCTGAGAAAGTCCTTCTGAAAGCCAGAGGAAGTGCCCCTGAGAAGAAACTCCCTTCTTCAAAGAAGGTCTTGTGGGGGAGCATGAACGATTTTTTACCCTTTTTTTATTGTGAAAAATACATAGAACAGACATTTATGTTGCGTATACACATTTTTAAGTGTACAGCTCAGTGGCATTAAGTGAATTCACATTAAGTCCAACTCTCCCCAACACCCACCTCCAGAACTTTTTAAAACTGAAATTCTGTCCCTATTGACGGCTGATTCCCTATTCCCACTTCCCTGCCCCTGGTCGCCCCATTCTGCTTTGTGACTCTCACTATCTAGGAACCTCACTGGAGCAGGATCTGGCTTTTGTGTGTATCTGGCTTATTTCACTCTGCCTCGTGGCTTCAAGGCTCATTCCAGGCAGGGAAGGTCCAGGTGCCCTTACCCTTCCTCACAACTCAGCTGGCACTGAACTCCTTCAACCACAGGATGGTTGGTAAGAGGGAAAGTGTGGTTGTATTGCTCTTAAAAATGGTTGATTTCTGTCCTCTCACGTAAACATGTTCAAAGAGGTGGCACAATTGCCTGGGCCTCAGACATGTGAGTGGCAGAGACACCCAAGGGGGCTCTGGCCCAGAGACCTGCCTCTGTAAAAGCAGTCACCCATACTGGGTCCCAACCCACTATTTCCAGCAGGCAATGCTGGCCCAGAATGGTGTGTGCAAATCTCCCTATTCTATACTGTTGGGACAAATAGAATACATTTGAAGGCCCCATTTGGTCCACAGGCCACGAGCTCCTATTCTCTGGTAGGGCTTAGTAAGAGTCGATTTTACTGTGGTTTCCCTCATTGATTCATTCACTCAAAAAATGTGTCCCCATCTCCACTCCAGGTTACACCTAGAAGACGTGACTTAAACACTTACTAGGGAGATATAGATAGTAGCAGCATAAATGCAACAACAGAGCAAAGACAATAACATTTACAGAGCACTTCATCAGCCCGGGAGTTTTTAAGAGCTTTATGCAGCGTATCAGTTCAGCCTCGCAGCAGCCCCACAAAGCAGGCACTGTAACCGGCCCCACAACACGTGGGAAGACCAGCACCGAGCGGTCACACCCCGGGGCCCGCGGCCACCCAGCTGGACCGCGCTGCACGCAAGTTGCTTCCAGAGTCCAAGGTCCCGGCCTGAAGTGGGGAGGGGGTGCGGGGCTAACCTGGGCCTCTGCGAAGATGACCCGACACGGTGCGTCTGGCCTGTCTTGAAGCACCGGCTCTGCAAACAGGGCCGGGAGGGCGCCCCAGGCCGAGGAAATAATCGATGGACAGGCAATGAGTCTGGAGAGATCGTAGGGTCCCCGAGACCACCTATTCCACCGCTTGTTTTCAGGGGAGGCCTCGGCTCCTCTACAACTTGGGTCCCGGGGTTGAGAGACAGACGAGGGAGCAGAGGGGCAGAGACACGTGGCGGCCAGCACCGCACGCCCGCAGCGGGCCAGCCCGCCCGCCCGCGGACTACAAGTCCCGGCAGGCCCCGCGGGACCCCGCGCCGGCCCCGCCCCCGTGACCCCGCGGGCCCCTCCCCCGCCAGGCCCGCGCCGGCCCGGCCCCGACCACGCCCCTCACGCCCCGCCCCGACGGCCGCGGCCGGCCCCGCCCCGAAGGCCCCGCCCCCGAAGGCCCCGCCCCTTCGCCCCCTCCCGCCGGGTCAGCCCCGAGAGTCGCCGGCGGCCGCGGCAGACGGAAGCCGAGCGCGCGGCGGAGCATGGGGGACTCCAAAGTGAAGGTGGCCGTCCGGGTCCGGCCCATGAACCGGAGAGGTGAGCGCCCAGCCCGCGCGAGCCGCCTCGGCGTTGGCGGCGGCAGGTGCCTGCGCGCCCGGCCCCGCGCCGCGGCCGCCTGGGGGTCCGGCCGGCCCCGCCCCTGAGGCGCGTCGGGGCGCGCGGGGCCCCCCCCGACGGCCCCGCGCCCGCCGCCGCCCCTTCCGCCCGCCGCGGCGTCCGGCCGCGCCCCCCGCTGTCACCGCGCCCCCCCGCGCCCCCCGCGCCCCCCCGCGCCCCGGCCTGCGCCCCCCCCGCCTGCGCCCCGGGGCCCGCGGCAGGAGAAGGCGGGGAGCCCGGCGGACCCCCGGAACGCCCGCTCCCGCGGAGGCCCCGCGGGGTCCCCTAGGTGCCCCCGGCCGCGCGGACCCGCCCCCCGCACAGCCGGCTGGACGGGGACCCCGGCGCGCCCTGCGCCCGCGCCGCCCCGGGACGGTTGGGAAAGTCGTGCCGCCGCCGGAGCCGCTCGTCGTCCCAACAATAAATAGCCCAAGCGCCAAGATTCTTGTGAAACTGTATCTCTCGGGCGCTCCCGGGTGTGGGCAGCGGGGAGGCCACGGCCGGGCGAGCCTCGAGTCACCCCTGACAGGCGGGCGCCGGGCGGGGGCCCCGGGGCCGCGGGGGGGGCGGGGCGGGGGGCGGGGCGGGGGGCGGGGGGCGCAGGCCCCCCCTCCCTGGCCTGGGCCGCCCCCCGGGGCTCGCGCCCCTGACCGCTGACCGGGCGCCCGGGCCGGGGTGTCTCCTCACGGATCAGACGCTTCTCTCGTCAGGACCCGCCCTCAGCCCAGAGCCGTTTTCTGAGCTGTTTCTGCAACTTCTGTTGGTGACTGTGTGTCACGTCCAGGGAGACATGCCGGGTCGTTCTCCCGTTTCCTCCTCTGTGGTGGCTTCTGTGAGGGACGCGCGGCAGCCGCGGCCGCTCAGGTGGCGGCGCCCGACGGGGTCTCTCCCTGCAGTGCCTCCGCCTTGGGGGCTCTGCCCGGTCAGCCTTCGCCGGCAGGTGACCTGGAGGAGCTTTTCCTGGGAACTCTTCTTCGCCTGAGAGGGCTTCGCTCCTCCCCGCCCGCCTCCTTGCTCTGACAGAAGAAGGGAAGGACAGGCGGGAAGGCCGGCGGTGTCCCCAAGCTGCTGTCCCGCACCTTGAGTTTAGCTCACCTCAGACTTATTACCAGTACAGTAATGAAAACCCCCAAAGCCCAGCCACATGAAGCCCCACTGCACTGGAATTTGATTCTGAAAGGGTGATTTCAGCACATTCTTAAAATGTCCTTTGCACAAAAAAAACTTGGAAATGTCAGCGCTGAAAGAGGCAGCTAACCCGCCGCCACCGGGAAGACCGAGCTCAGTCAGCTGGAATCCTTTTCTTCTCCTCCCCCACGAGTTTCAGTGTTTGACTTGCCCCTTTCCTTATAAATTGTCCTGACGTAGATGGTGACAAGGGTCCGCACTGGAGTTTTGAGGGATGCATAGAATGACAATTTGAACTGTAATTTTAGACTGATAGTTTCAACTGTGGAGCTGTTTCTTTGGCTGCACTCATTTTAAAATTAAGATTTGCACATGGACCCAGCGCCCTGTGAGCAGAAGCGCTGTGGTGGAGGTAGCCCACCTCCTTCGCCTGGTACCGCCGCTTACCTGGCCTTTATGTTTCCTGCAGACTCCAGGGAACTTTTTCAGCGATGACCCCAGATCATTAAAGTTAGTTCTATTTCTCTTTTGTAGCCGTTTACAGTCTGGAAGGGTATTGTGGAAGGAGTCTTTTACATGAATCTGGAGGTTATTATGGAATATGCCGTAGTGAAATTCTATAGCCAGTGAGTTTTGAGTGGCTATCTAGAGTTTGTTTCAAAAGGCTGAAACAAAACCATACTCCTTTCCAGTAACTTCGGAAAGAATTATATTTCTTTGAACAATTATTACTTCTGGGAAAATTAATGTCTTAAGTAATAGTGTGTAATTATGACAAATAAGTTTTTCAGTCATAACTGTTTCCCACTTAGCATATTGGTGCAAGAAGCACCCTCGGAGAGCACGCTCAGCACAGGAGAATGAGATGAGAAGGGGCCACTGTATGTAGAGGCTCGATACTTGGAATCGCATTAGCTGTCTGGCGAGGCAAATCGTAAAATTGGGACAAGTTTCTAGCATACAGTAAGTTCTACCTGTGATTCAGTGTCTGGTTGCACACTTGTGTTCGGGTGGTTAGTTGTCTTATTTAATGTCGTGGGAGGAAGAGTGATTCAGTCTTTTTATGCTAAATGGTACCTGGGCTTGGAAGCTAACATTTGAACCTTAAGCATTAGGCCCTAATTCAGTCATACCAAGAACTGTCATGTGGAACCAGGATGCTTTTGCCAGGAGTATTTTTCTAGTTACACATTTTAACAGTATACTGACAAAACAAGAAAAAGGAAATGTTCTTCCATAGTCTTCCCTCCTAACAATTCCCACTTTCATTTTCTTATTTCTGTTCCAGTTTGTTTCATGCATATGTAATTTTACATAATTTTAATATTCCAACTTTCATTTTTGCTTTCCTTCATTTGAAATGTGAATTTAAACAGTGAGAGAAAGGGGAAAGCGTGTTTAGTCATGAGATCTTGAGGTTCTATTTGCAGACACTGTTTGTCTTTTCTTGTTATCTTTCCAACTGGCACAGCTCACCAGGTAACACCGGTTGTGTTCTTGTTTAGGCTGTAAAGAACACCCTTTCATACATATTAACCAATCTAATTATTAAATGAGTCGAAAGTTTTACAGCCATAATTGAGGGTACTAGTTAGATCAGTAACACTCTTTCGTTCAGGAATTTGATCTTTTAGAACTTCATTTCAGTCACCGAAAAAATACTGAATTCAATTTTCGAGTGCTGACCAGGCCCAAACCAGCTGGTAGGTGATCTTACTGCCTTTACTCAGGGGCTTACCATGTTTAATTATGTATAAGATCAAGTACCAAAATAAATCAATGAAGAAAAGTGTTTGGAAAACACCTTTCCTATCCACCCAGCCTCCGGTGGTGCCACCAGGGGGAAAAAATGGGTTATTTCAAGTGTTAGGAAGCATGGGCAAGAAATTTATTTCAACAGCTGTTTCTCAGAGGTTTACTATGCGTTTCATAGTACTTGATGCAATGAAAGTCACAATGAAGAATGTAAAATGTCTAAGTGAAGTCAGTGCCTAAGTAAATGAAGGTGCCGTATCTCAGTGGAGAGACTACTATACAGCCATCAAAAAATGATGAAAATTAAGACTATTGACAAGAAAGACTGTTGGCAGAAAAAGCAGAGTGTACAAGGATGTTTAACTGTGTGGCTGAATCTCCTCATGATCATCGCATGGGAAAATGCCACCCGGAATGGGCCAGGGCTGGAAAGGAACTTGGTTGTTCTGTGGTTGTTCCTGCTTTCTGCAACTTTGAGTGTTGTCTAGTTCTGTGGTATCAGGTTTCCAAAGGGCCCATGATGGCTCGCCCACATGAGGAAATGACTGTCACGTGGAAAGATAAGGTTAAAAGGCAAACACCTCTGAACAGATTGCTGGTAATTCAGTGCCAGATAAGAGAGGGAGACATCAAGAGATAGGAAGACATCGGAATTTAGAGATAGAGATCTCTATGTCTAGATTGGAGTGGGTGCCTGATGCGGGCACAGGGGGGTGGATGCTCTTGGTTCTCTGAGGAGGAGGATGAGCCTGGCAAGTGGAGGTAGTGGAGACTAGAGCAGCTTGCCAAAAAGGAGCTTCTGTGCCTCGACTAGAGAAGGGTGAGCTTAGAAACACAGGGTGGTACTATAGGGAGCCCTGAATCCTCACTGCACCCAGAGTCTGGGTGCAGGGTGTCTGGACCATGTGCTCTCTTTAGCTGTTCAGAACGTCATGTAGGCCTCGTACATCAATGAAGGAGAGAGACGGACAGAAGTCAGAGCAAGATGGCTGTCCTGCCTCGAGGCCTAGCTGGGCGGCATGTGGAACTGAAGCGTCAGCAGGAACGGCTAGTGTGGCGTCACGACCCAGAAAGAGGGTAAACCTGAGGAAACAGGAGGGAGTCGGAGAGGATCCTGCAGGAATAGTTAAGTCTTAGGAAACGAAGGGCAGAATCTGAAGCAGGAAGGTGGTGTTGACCCTGAGGCTGCGGGTCATTCTCAGCCTCCCAGAGGATAACTGATTTAGTTAAGGATGACTGCATGGAAATTTCTGACATATTTTCTAAAACAGAAGATCCTTGTTTCACGAGCATCTGCGTGATATGCTAATGGGGAATGAGACACACGTCTGTTGCAACATCCTTTTGTTCCTGCTGTCAACCCAGGGACTGAAATGGAGTTGATACACATGGGGCCAGAGGCTTTGCTAGAAGAAAGTATAATTTTATAACATAAAAGAAAATAAAAATTTGTTTGAATTAGCATTGACTTTTACCCTCTCTGCGTAAGACAATGACCAGTGTCTAACTCTGCCAGTTCTTACATTAGAAGACAGAAGCCACCGACAAAGCTATTCATTAGGCAGATGAATTGGGATGTTCGTTGAGTGCAGTGAATTTATTATCGATCCCTGAGCCTGCTGATCTGATCAGCTGCCCTGGTGTTTGGTGGTCCTTGTTAACTGCAGAGACCGCAGGGTGCCCTGCCAGGATTGGTTGTGGGTGGGGGGTACTGGGGGGTTCTGGTGGTGGCTGTGGGATGCCGCCTGTCACACCACTGGTCCTGGGCTTTGCTTCTCAGAAGCCGCGGAGACCTTCCAAGGTGGGATTAGCCAGCCCATTCAATTCAACACGTGTCGATTGGAGAAAAAAATGGAGAAAAAATAAGAGCTACTTTAGGAGAGCTTTTCTATTTGTGAGCTGTGGAGTTTGGCACTTTTTATACATTATTTTGTTCTTTAAACAAAACTGAAAAAGGGAGAGAATTTCGATTCGATGGGCTCTCCGAGAAGTTAGGTAACTTTCCCAGAATCCCAAAGCAGTTGGGGATTGAACTTTACCTCCTGTGCCATCCAGGC